GCTAAAGTTTTCTGCGGAGCTTCATGTGGAAAATGAGCTCGCGTTTCCCATGTATTTCTACACAGACAAGAGGGTAGCTCCATGAAATACAAGTTATGCCAAAAAAAATAGACGAGGTAATAGATCGCCTTCCCAGTTCTGTTCCCCTAAATCTAAAAAGAAATTTAGTTCACGAATTGTCGTCTAGGGTGCAACGCGTCTGAAACTGACGAATTACAGGTCCGGAGCACACACCACGAAAATTGCTATCTAGAACAATTCGTCCTATGGAATATTGGGGAGCGTGCCATAAAATCGAGTACGGCAACTGCGGAAAAAAGGAGATATTTTTATGGGGTGTTGTGAATGAGTTAGTGGGACAACGCCTAGAGAGACCTAGCATAAACACCTTCCCGCGGTGAATTTCCGCCTATTCTTCACAAAATGTCTGCTCTTACAGTAAGGTAGGAACACCGACTACCATTTCAGGCCATATTAATCTAAATCTAATCAGTCATCTAGGCCTGTGCAGCGGGATAGTATCACCGTACAATAGGGCGTCTGGAGAAGATGGTATACAAACGCATACCCATCTGACTGGATAGAGGTGAAAACAAATCGATTTCGAGTTCTATTTTAGTCTTCATTAATTACCGAGTCGACACCAAAAAGTCTTTCCATTGGTCTATCGGACACCAGCAAACCACCATAAAGGCTTACGCTAACGGGTGCTAGCAACCGCCGGCGCAGCGGCTCTTCAGCTGGTGAATCTACTGTTCTGTTATCAGAGGACGTCGACGCCACCGTCTATCTTCCATGGCTGACTCCAAGTGATGATCGCACGTGGCCGTAAATGTTTTAATGGCTTCCCAGGCTAGATTTGTGCCGCTAAGTCTCTTTGTGTCAGTCCAACAAGGAGAACAACGAACAAGGTCATAAAGGAAAGGAAGTCCTTTATTGTGTCCCTCGAACGGGACTATATGATAAGAAAGGTTATAGATGGGACTAAGCGGAATGTGTCCTCATGCGCCTAGCGGCTAGATTGGCCATCTGATCGCCTCTGTCCTGTCCGCCTCGTGTGACCTCGGCCCCTTCGTGCACGCCCGTCCACGCGCGCCCTTTGTTTGTGGGCCGACCGATAACGTGACCTGAGAGCGCGCCAAGGCCGCTCGTTAGGGATAATCCTAACAATAAACACCCCTCACGATAGCTATGCTCAATCCGCATATTTGACGTACGGACATCGCTCACACCCTACCTTCAGCC